CTGCTCCCTGTGCCAGTTCCAGGCTGGCACAGTGAGCGGATCTGGTTCTGGCCCAATCGCATCATATTTTGCTTGATGGGATCCCACCCATCACTAGCATGCAGCCCTTGGAAGGCTGCCCCAGAAAGGAATGTGGGGCTGAAAAGAGTCCCCCAAGCCCTGCCTTTCACCCCAAAACACTAACCACCCATCAGACCAGCCTGCCTTAATGGACGGGGCAACGAAAACCAGGGACACCGCTCTGCCACCTTTCTTTTGGTTTCTGAAACGTGCTTTGTGCCCTGTCATGAGAAAAAAGCCGCTGGCTGCCCTCTCTGACCTTCACCCCTCATTCACTTTTCTTTCCTCACCCCTTTCCCCTCCCCTTTGTCACCCTCCCTCTTTGGCTTCTTCCCACCCTCTCTCTCTCTCTCTCTCTCTCTCTCTCTCTGCCTGGCTTGTCAGATGAGCAGGTGTGCAGCAATTCACCGGCGAAACCCCCCTCCCCGCCCCCTTTTATTTTTACATTTTTTAATTAGACGATAAAAAGAATGCATCCTTTTGAGGTTGAGAGCAGATTCCTCGCATCCTTAGCATCGCTGGGCTGCCTGGCTGTAACCTTATGCCAGTTAAAAGCCTCCCTGCCCCCCCATCAGGCCAGGATGGAAAAAAGAACAGCAGAAAGGGTGCCACTGCCTCCTTCATCTCTCCACACACACCCCATCCACACACACACACACACACACAAACATACGCACACCTGCAGCCTTTGCTTCGCTGCCATCGTTGACATCCCTTGGATAGGGCTCGGGAGCTTTTCAATTATGTCGGGTGATGATTAGCAGGAGGCAATCTGGCCAGTGGCGAACTGGGTCAAGCTGGAAGCCTGGGACACAGAAAGAACTGCGGGGAGGCCACAAAGGATCCCACCGCCCGGCCTCCTTGCCACAGCAACATTTGATCCTGTCACCTGTGAACCAGTGACCTCAGAGCCCCCGCCCCCCACTCCAGGGAAGCATATTTAACCCTTGCTCTGCCTGCTCCCCACAAAATCACATCCCTCCTTCTTCGGTTGTTCTGAGCCTAGATAAACAGCTGGGAAAGCAACTATATACGCCACCTTGAAGCTGGGATGGAAACATAACAAAACAACGAAATTCACAAGCCCCATCCCTTGAGCTCCCCCTAATTCAAGACAAATCGTACCCGCAGCCTTCCAAAAAAAACAACACCTAAGGAAGCTATCAGAAAAAGATAAAACGGGTCCTCCCTTAAAGAGGGCACGTATTGTGGTGAGACCCGGAAAACCAACACCCTGTGTTGTGGGTGGGTACGATTGGTCAGCCACAACACCCGATTGGTAGGTCCCTCATAGCTGGGTGTAATCTGGCCAATGGGACACAGTCCAAACGGTTCAAGGGACCTATATATACCCATGCACGTGACCCAGAGCTTCCTCTTTCAGTGCGTGCATTCGGAACACCCACTCACCTCTCCCTACTTTTAGGGCTTTGCACTTGACCTTGCTATGCCATTGTGTGTCGTCTGTCGTTGGGACAGGGGCACAGTAGGAATTTTTCCTACTTGGTTGGTTGGCTGTTGCCATTTGGGTTTCGCCTGCTGCGTAGCAAATCATCACAACTTGTAAGGTTGCGGATAGGCTCTGGTTCAGGTGATAGGGATGGGAGAATACTCTCGCTATCCCTATGTGAAGGGTATTCCGTTAAAGGAATCCAGGGACTCGATGGTTTGGTCAACCCCTGAGAGGGGGTTGTGCCCGTGCCTGAGTCCAGGGGGACATTTGGGTGGCGGAGATAGCCTGTTCCCAGGTTTCCGCTTATCCAGGTGTTCACCCTTGGCTGACCTATGCTGGAACCCTGGGTCAGCGCTACCTGCAGGGCAGGGAGCTAGTCGAACCAGAGCCTATGCAACCATTCACTTTCTGTAATCAATAAAGTTGTGGCCTAAATTCTGCCGAAAACAAAACTAAAATTTGAGTCAAGTGTGAATTTATTTAAGGGGGGTGGTTTCTGGGTCTGAACACAAAAAGGGAGAGATAGTTGCCCCTCCAGCCCTTCTGTATTGATGAGCATTGCAATATGGATAAGGGCATGTGTACACCTTCTCACACTCTTCCCCCTGTATTTTCTCTGTATTTTTTAACATCCTCACCCTACGGAGGATTCCCCCCTCCCAAAAAAACCCCAACACATTCCTCAGTGCATTGGCTGAGTTACATGCTTGCCAACCCTTCTAGAGACAAGCAGCCGGCTGTAATTTCTCTTCTGGTTACCAGACTGCCAGTGCTGGAGGTTATATTGCGGAACCAGTAAAAGTTATTTCAGCAAGCGCCTGTGTGGTCTGTGTTTGTTACTGAGCCTGGAGATAGCTTGATTGGAGTCAGGCCTCCACTTGCAAGTTGGATCCTTTCTCCTTCCACCTCCTCCACCTCCCCCCCCCCCCGTTCTATTTCACTTGCTGCCAAACTAAGCCACGTTACTGACCTCATCGTGCGGGAGTGGCAGAACGGGTGGAGGATACCCTCCTTGATTTCAACAATGACAGTAGTTTGCAAGTTTAATAATAATAATAATAATAATAATAATAATAATCAGCCCCCTGGCAAAGTGCTGAGTGATGATTCATTGCTATTATGACTACATTAAAATATCACTAAAAAAAACGATTTCAAGGCAGGCAAATTTATTTCCGCACTCTCCTTTGTTATTTTTGCATTCAATCATTGCTCTGAACAACTTTGTTTTCTCTCCGCCTTTTCCCCGTCTTCTTTCCATTTCAGTTTTTTAACTAATGGGGTCAGGGCAGATATTCATTTTCACGGTTCCAGCTCATTGAGAACAATGAAGGCAATAAAAAAAAATGGCCTCAGCGCTTAGGAATGTTAAACATTCGCCTGTGGTTGAAAATTATGAATCTCTCTCTATATATATAGATTTTAAAAGTAAATTAATAAATAAAATAAAATCTATATTTTAGAGACTTTTTATGTTTTCTCCTCTTCTTTTATTTTTATGGATGTTTTTATTTTTATGGATGAGCCATAAATTATTTTACAGATGGCGGACAACCCTGTCTACCCCACAGGAGCTCAGATATTTGTTTTCTTGAAACATATGGACCACAATGAACCACAGAAAGGTCTAAGCTATAACATTTGGATTCAGATGTGAACACGGAAAGTCAATGAATTTGGACAGAGGCTTGTCAGGTCCCATTCCTTTTCATTTTGAAACCTCTTCCTCTTGTAAAATTTTCACTGGGGGAAAATCATCTTTCAGTTTGTGAACAACAATGGTTAAAATCCAGATGAGCGACCCTCTGTTGCTGAGAGCAAGAGGGAGATCTTATAAAGGACTAATGTGGGGGCAAAGTAGGGCTAGGAGAACAGGTCAACTGCAGTTTTTCTTATTTTCTCATTGTTCCAATCTTAAGTTCAGTCGTCCATATTTCCATGTCAGTTTGCATGTGTGTGATTTTAAGTTCTCATGAAAATCAATCAGCATTTTGGTGTGAATTTCTCCTAAAATATACATTCATATGCCATTTTGTCTAACATGCACATTTTTTGCAAAGCATATTTCCTCTCGTATTTATATTGTCTCTAAAATAATGTATTTTTTTATTTATAGATTATACTGAATTTCATTTATTTCTCAAAGTATGCTATTTTTGTATGCTGTTTTCACTAACACTGGGGAGGGTGCGTGGCTAGGGTGAAGGTGTGGCCTGGGGAGGTGTGGCCAAGGGCACCATCATTCACTTCCAGGCCTAAGATTCCCCCACTCACCCCTCCTATAGTGCAACAACATCTAGAAGGCCACATGTTCTCCATCCCTAGCATAGCAATGGTGACTGGTGCCCATTGGGAGTCGGAGGGTGGGAGCCAGGGAGCCCAAACATAGGTGGAATTAGAGCGAAAGACCTGTGAAGCCAGCTAATTCTAGTTTTGTCTCCAGCTTCCTCTGAGCAGAGGCGGTTTAGGGTAGCGCAACCAGTTTGGCCACACTGGGCACCATGATACATGAGGACCCACAACAACGCTGTAGAACAAAGCTGAAGAGGTGGGGGTGTGCTGAATTTCAGTGTTGCACAAGGCGCTGCTGAAATTTGAGAGCCCAAAGTCCATCACTGCTCTGAGTCTTGGAACAGCAACACAGAAATGGGGGTGCTAACAGGCATGTACGCCAGACTGGTTGTAATACGAAGGCAGGCGGAAGAGACCTGGCTGAGGGCAGACTGAGATTGGTGGTGCAGTACCCCATTTGCCCTCAACTAGCAGCCTCCACTGAGTATAAGGGCATTATACTATTAGCAGAAGACTTTGTAAATCTTGAAAGACAGAAATGGAAATGGAATGGAATGGAATGGAATGGAATGGAATGGAATGATGAGATTCCCCAACACATAAAAAAGGGAAATTATTGTGGGCTTTAACTGGAAATTTGGGAAGAACAGCCTGGATGTCCAGCTTCCCAGGACCTATGTGCCTCCTCTTGGCCAAGGGAAATGGTCAGTTACCTTAGGACAGGCAAGACAGGTGCCAGCTCACCCTGGAGAGAGCTTTTAAAAAAAATAAAAGGCACATTTTTCTCCAGATGCAGTTCTCTCCCCATCCCTCTTAGCTCCAGTCCTCCTCTCATTCCCAGTTTAATGACATTGCAATGTATACAGTACCCTGTCCCAGCACACCTACTGGCACGAAGCCCATGTGAAAAGCTATAAAGAGAAGGCATAAGCATTTTTTAATGCAGAGCCCAACTGAATAAACAATTGAAAGCAAATGGCTGCGCCGCTTTCCACCTCTCCTTTTTCTCCCGTGTAAGGTTTGGTCCTTGAGCAAAAAGAACATGGGAGACCCAGGGCAATCTGGCCTCCATCCCACCCAAAACTCTCTTTGTAAGAAGCTGCCTTATACTGAGTCAGACCATTGGTCCATCTTTCTCAGTATTATCTAAGCAGCTTTCCCCGGATTTCAGGCAGGATTCTCTCCCAGTCCTACCTGGAGATGTCAGGGATTGAACTTGGGACCTTCTGTGTGCAAAGCAGATGCTCTACCACTGAGCTATGGCCGTTTCCCTCCTGAATGGGTAGAGGGGGCTGCATAAAAGAAGGTAGATGTTGCTTGTTCACTCCTTTTCCACCTAAAAGGAGCTTCAACCTGCCTGGGAAATGCTGGTCATCCAAAGTGGGGAGGAGGAGGAAGAGGGAGAAGCACTATAACTCAGTATAGGAATGGAGGAGAAATTAAATTCAGCTTGCAATCAAAGGTGAACTTACTTAATCTGTACTTTTCAAAAACAATATGTGAACTGAAAGGTAGTCATCCTTCAAAATTCACACTGCTCTGAATTTTGCAATGCAGCTCTCCATCTGAATAATGCATACAAAAATGCATATACTAAATAAAGTATGCATCTAAATGAATATATTAGTGAAAATAAAAGGCACAATGCATTTTATTAGACAAATTGCATTGCAGAAAATATATATATATTCAGCAGAACCACATGCAAACATATATTAGGAGAATTTCGCACTATGCCGATTGATTTTCATGTAAAAAAATTACAAACTGATGTGGAACCATGGAGACTAGAAGTATGATAAACTGGAATTGACTAATTCTCCCACCCCTAGGAGTTGAGCACATGCATTGCACACAGAAGGTCCCAGGTTTAATCTCCGGGTCTTCCTGCTAGGACTGTTAAAATCTCCCTGAAGAGCCACTGCCAGCCAGCACAGACAATACTCAGCTAGGTGGACAAATGGCCTGATTTGATGCACAGAAGCATCCTATGCAAACAGGTGTGGAGGGTGAAGATCAGAATTCTTCCCTCCAGCCTCTCGCTGACCAGGAAGGTTTGGAAATGAAAAGCTGCAAAAATAAGTTCAAGAGGGAAACACAGCTGTTCCCAAGAAATTTTAGATTTGTTTGCCTTTGGAATGTTTTCCTGAACCAGAGGGTCAAGGAGCAATGCATTCATAAATCTGCTGGGACTTTGCATGGGTGGATGAGAAGCTGTCCATTCGGACCAAGAGATTGGAGCTGTGCTTATTGTTACAACAGGAATGGGCATTGATACAAGGCGCTCACACTGGAGTTCTTCAAGCTTTGCAAAGCTGGGAGGCCCCCTTCCCTAGAAAAAAAAAAGTATCGTATGGGTAAATGCACATTTTGGGGAGCAAATAGTTTCAGGATGGGAGGGGAGAATTTTAATCAGGAAAATGGCATTGTGATTTAAAAATAAAATAATAATAAAATATTTAGACACCTTCCACAGTGCAAAGGTCCCAGTTCAAATTTCATCCTCCTTTGGCTGCTATTGTCAGATTTAAATAAAGGAAACTTGACATAAGAAGAACCCTGCTGGATCAGGCCAATGGCCCACCTAGTCCAGAAACCTGCTCTCAGAGTGGCCAACCAGATGTCTCTAGCTTGGCTAAGGACTCCTCTAGACTATCAGTTTATTGAGCATTCATTCAGCTTTGCTTGCACAAAGCTTACATGGTAGTTAGATGATATCAAGTCTTTACTGAGAATTCATTCTGATTTGTTTATAGGGCAGCTACTGTATATGATACTGAGTTTTCATCCTGATTTGCTTACAAGGTATTTATGCATCTTGCTGTTAGTTAGTTAGTTAGTTAGTTAGTTAGTTAGTTAGTTAGTCATTCATTCATCCCACATTCTCCCCATCACTCTCCTAACTGCAAAAAGTCTGTTTTATTTTATTTGCTTAAGTGAATTTGTTGCGCCTGGATGACAGAACACTTTTATCCACTTTAATTGTGTAAACCTAAAGTTCTGGTTATGCACTTGAATCTCTCTTGGAAAATACTGGCAGACTGAAAGCACCCTTAGTGTCCCTGGAGAAACTGGAAGTTTGCAAAGGTATCGAACAAAAATATTGTGCAAGATTTCTGATTTCAAAAGCGGGCCCCTTTGAAAAATCACAGGCGGATGAAGCCTGTGACCATGGGACTCGGCGGGCACCTTTCGCGCCCCCCCCAACTCGTAAAGGAACCCAGTTACGGGCTCCGGAGTGAAGAGGGGCAAGTGGCGCGGTGCTGAGAGTCAACTGATTCTTCCGTGGAGCGAAGCCGCACAGCTGTTGCCGGAGAGCGCTGCCTTTTTCCTGGGACAATTTGGCTTTTAAAACAACTACCCGTGAGTAGCTCAATTTCGAACAATTGGACTTTAAATAATGACCTGCGAGTAGAAAGGAAAATAGGACTAAGAAATTCTTCTCAATTTGGCACTGAAACGGGAAGGTCTAAACAGAAAGTCAGCCTTCCGTTTCTTGTAGATAGATTAAAGCAAAGACATGGCAAACTAGAGTTCAGAAAATTGTTTCTAAAGGATTAACTTTCATCATTTAAAATCGTTGAACCCCCTTCGGAAGCAGGAGAAGAGGGGGGATTTTTTCTGGACTGGTTAAACCTGCAGAAGAGAGTGTAAAGAAAAGTAATTTTCCACCGTCTCGGACCTCGGAGCGGGGTGTCAGGACTGACGTCTTTTGGGAAGTTCATTGACCATAGACAAACGTCTTTGACAGACAGTTAAAAAAAGAGAAACATAGTGATTCCATCGTTCTCCTTCGCATTTCAAAGGAACAAATATTGACAAAATATCTGAAAAAGAAAACTTTGTTGCTAGATCTACTCTTAAAAGAAAAGATCAGATAGAAGTTCTTCCCCTAGAGGGAGCCTGTGAAACTGTTACTATATCCAAATCGGGGAGCTCTGCAGCTGCAACAGATTACAATCGTGGGAACAGACTTCTGACCTTGTATAACAATGTATTCAGAAGCTCTGGTGCGTGCTTTCTGCAAAACAAGTGCCCTATTGGAACAGTTACATGAGAAGACGGACTTGATGACTGTTGTGATCAGAAATTTTGGACAGGTAGTGGGTAACTATATAGAACCCACCCAGGAATTAAATCAGGAGTGTGCTCTGACAGATCAGATGAGGGAAGAGGATGTTGCTGGACCCTGGGCGCCAGAGATGGAGGGAGCTGTGGCCCAGCAGGAACATGAGTTGTTGGATTTGACAAATGAACTTGGAAAAAGCCAGGCTTGGAAAGATAGAGTTTTGTCTGGTTTGGAAATGGGGGGTTGGATAGACCCCCCTATGCAGGGATGTTTTGACTTTCCAAGTCTGGCAATGGGCCGTGAGATGTTTGGGGTTGTGGGGGCTCTTAATTCTGGAGGGATTTTGAAACATGTGTTTAAATACCACATGGAGTTTAGTGTGGACTATGGAAAAGGGGCTGATTTGTCGAGAAGGGTCAAAAACACTGTTAAGTTGGAGTTTCCACGAGTGAAAGGAGCAGGAGACAAAGTAAAGTACAGGTATAAATATGAAGAAGAGCTGCGGAAGGGACATGGAAGAGACTTAAGGGCCTCGGACATAAGATTACCAGGTTAATGAACTAGATTGATGGGATAGAAAGGACTGACAAAACCCGGGACCAGGAGGAAGAGACTCTGGATGAAGATTGGGGGAAAAAAATTATTAGGATTGTTTTATAAAATTGATGAATGATAGAAAAATGTTGGAACGAAATTATTTGGCTTTAGCAAAAATGTTAAAAGAATTATGTAAGAATAAGTTATGGTTATGAGAAACTGGTATAAATAAGATCTAAGTTTTAAGTTTTAGGGTCTTTTATAGTAAGATAAGGTTAAAATAGATTAAGGTAATTTAATGACAGAATATTATGAAAAATGGAAAGGATTTGCTGTGATAATTAATAACTAGGATACAAAAAAGGGAGGAGTGAGGAGGTAGATGAAATAAAGCAATGACAGTTAAGGATTTTGGAATATTGGATTTGTTTTTAAATTTTTGTGGTTTATTTTTGTTTTTTGATTGTCATGTGTTATGTGTTTTGTTGTTACATTTTGATTTTGATTTTTATTGCTTGATTGTGGTTTGTTTGTTTTTCTTTCTCTTTTTGTATTTCTTGTAATTTTAAAATTTTCAATAAATATCATTTTTTAAAAAAATGATACGTGAACCTTTGTTTCAAAGAAACATTTTAAAATAATACCCTGGTGAGACTCTGAGCCCCAAGGTTCACATTGGGAGACTAGCTGAAGCACATGAGATTTAACCTTGCCACTCTGAGGTCCAGAGAATGGACACCAAAACCTGTATTTCAAGAAGTGGAAACCGGTGGGTTGGGGTGGTCTTGATTTCCTGCCTTCCCAACATGGAAGTCCCTGCCAGTAACCCAGATGAAAATGTGCAAGGCGGCAATGAGGTTGGTACAGTGCAGGTGCAGTGATGAAGCCAATCTGACATTCCTGCCATTGCACCCACACCATACTGACCTCCCCACCACCTCTCCCCTCTACCTCTCAGTCACAAGCAGTCACCTGCACACTGGGAAACAAGTTAAGCAGTGGTACTCCAACCCATTCCACCTGCTGCTACTCATCTCAGAACCACAAACTTAAGACCTGGCAGCCCTGGTGGATAAAGTGATCGTATTACATTAGTACTGGACAGCTACAGTGGCATATTTCCAGGCCCAATTTAAGTTGCTGGCTTAAAGCCACAGGTATTGCCAGATGGCAGAGTAGCGATTTAATGATCAGTTCCTCCTTCCAGGGACTTCAGGGAATTTCAGCTCTGTGAGGGCAATAGGGGTCTCCTAACAGCTCTCCACACTCTTAACAAAACTACTGCTTCCGGGATGCTTTTGGGGGGGAAGCCATGACCGTAGTGCAAGAGTACCGTATTTTTCGCTCCATAAGGCGCACCAGACCATAAGGCGCACTTAGTTTTTAGAGGGGGAAATCAGCTTCTTTAGCTGCGCGCAGCCTGTCCGCTTCTCCCAGAGCTTCTGGGGCTGCCGGGGGAAGCCCGGGTTCCCCCCCCCAGCCCCAAAGAGCAAAGAAGCCAAGACAGCAAGCGGGATCCATCTTGGCTTCCTCTTTAGCAGCACAGAACCTCTCCAGCCGGAAGAGGCTGCGCACAGCTAAAGAAGCCATAGCCGCGCACAGCCTCTCCCAGTCAGAGGGGCTGCGCACGGTTATGGCAATACCCCCCGCAAAAGCCCA